CAATATAAAAACAACAACAACGACATGAAATATTTGTGTATTTTGTATTTAGAAAATAAAAATATTAACAACAACTTTGACATTTCAGCTCCAATTTGGCTCATTTTCTATTAACTACTCGTACCAGTTTATAGACAGCACAAAAAAAACAACAACAATCAAGCAATTCACAATAGTTGTTAAAACTATAATCTAGCAACTTATGTGAATTGTGTAAATATTTGAATTTTGACTTTAATGCTTAAAAGACTTGGACCAGTTAAACAAAATTTTTAAAATTTACAGACGTTACAACCAACCAACCTATCTCTATGTATATATGTATGTATGTATTTATCTATCTATAAAATCATAACCCAAGGTGGAGGGTATAATTTGACATAAATAATTAACCAAACAAAAAAAAAAGCATTTTTATATCACCACCTAAATATTAGATTTTTTTATTATTATTAATTTTTTTTAAATAGCTGAAAATACAACTAAATTCAATAATCAACTACTTACTACTACTACTTATATTTTGCAAAATATTTACTACAAAAAAACATTAATTATAAATCTAACTTAACTAACTTATAATATAAAACGCCCTCCCAAGCATGCACTCATCTAAAATAATAAAAAAAAAAACAAAACTATAAAAAAAATTATTTAAATATACTACATATAGATATATTTATACTATACAATACTATATACTTATATATACAACTATATATGTATGTAGTTACCAGTATTTTCCAAAAACAAAACAACAAATATCGTTTAAATTAACATAGCTAACCAAACCAATCTACCAATCAAATACCAGAAACAAAATCAAAAATAACTAAAATATATAAATAACTATATATATACTTACAGACCTACTAATTCTGCTAAATTTGTTTGAGAAATTATTTTTCTTAGAACGCCAGCAGCTGCCTTTAGAAAACAAACCAAAAAAAACTAAATATCATTAAAATCAAACCAAAAACAAAAAAACGTTTTAAATTTTTATCAAAATATTTAATATTTAAATAAAAAACTAGAAACTATTTAATTTTTCAACTCAAAATTGTCATAAATGCCATTAACCTACATTAACTATGCTACAAATTCTTTTTAGTTCTTTCTCTCATTTTAGTTTTTAATTTTTTTTTTAAATGCTGGATTTTAATTTTTTTGTTTTTTTTTATAAACAAATTTTCTTAAAATTACTTTATGATTAATAAAATCCAGTTTTAATTGCAATCAAATTTTATAAATTTTTAAATTTTTTATTTATTTAAATTTTTTATTTCACTAACACTTTATTTAATCATTAAAGCGAAAATCATAAAAATAAATTAAATAATTATCGGCAAATAAATTGTCTTAAAACTATTTAATTTAAATACTAAATATTAGATTCGAATTGTGTGTGTAAAAAATGCAACTCTGTTCAAAATTTGAATTAATTGTTTAAAACTTACCAGGTGTTTAAAACTCAGATACACCCGTACTCACACGCGTATAAGGAGCAAAAGCAAAAGAGAGCAAATATGCCCCTCTCTCCCCATGTCTGGTTAATAACAGACAAACAGAATTTGAACCACTAACCACCAGATGCGATAGAGGCCTAGGTGTTGACTAACTAACTAACTAACTAACTAACTACTACTACTAACTAACTAACTAACTAACTAACTAACTAACTAACTAACTAACTAACTACTAACTAACTAACTAACTAACTAACTAACTAACTAACTAACTAACTAACTAACTAACGACTAACTAACTAACTAACTAACTAACTAACTACTAACTAACTAACTAACTAACTAACTAACTAACTAACTAACTAACTAACTAACTAACTAACTAACTAACTAACTAACTAACTAACTACTAACTAACTAACTAACTACTAACTAACTAACTAACTAACTAACTAACTAACTAACTAACTAACTAACTAACTAACTAACTAACTAACTAACTAACTAACTAACTAACTAACTAACTAACACTAACTAACTAACTAACTAACTAACTACTAACTAACTAACTAACTAACTAACTAACTAACTAACTAACTAACTAACACTAACTAACTAACTAACTAACTAACTAACTAACTAACTAACTAACTAACTAACTAACTACTAACTAACTACTAACTAACTAACTAACTAACTAACTAACTAACTAACTAACTAACTAACTAACTACTAACTAACTAACTAAACTAACTAACTAACTAACTAACTAACTAACTACTACTAACTAACTAACTAACTAACACTAACTAACTAACTAACTAACTAACTAACTAACTAACTAACTAACTAACTAACTACTAACTAACTAACTAACTAACTAACTAACTAACTAACTAACTAACTAACTAACTAACTAACTAACTACTAACTAACTAACTAACTAACTAACTAACTAACTAACTAACTAACTAACTAACTAACTAACTACTAACTAACTAACTAACTAACTAACTAACTAACTAACTAACTAACTAACTAACTAACTAACTAACTAACTAACTAACTAACTAACTAACTAACTAACTAACTAACTAACTAACTAACTAACTAACTAACTAACTAACTAACTAACTAACTAATTAACAAACTAACTAACTAACTAACTAACTATCTAGCTAACTAATAATACTTAATTAAATAGTCTATAGACTATTCCATTAACTTGTTAATAGGGGTAGACTACTGTCAAGTCCATGGACTAGTCTTCAGTCTAGTATGCTGATGAGTTATTATTAGACTTATATATTTACTATACTTTGTACTAGTCTGGACTTGCTTATTGTCTATTGACTATAGTCTAGTCTATGGACTTGTCCAATGACTAGTCTATAAACTAATCCGTTGACTAATCTATGAACTAATCTGTTGACTAGTCCATTCATTGATTACACATATAAATATCAAAAGCGTATACTTAATACGTATACGTACAGGTGCAATTTCACATTGTAAAGCTTTCAACTTTAAGTTCTTTTTTGGTTTACAATTTCTGGTCTCTATGGTAAGAGCTATAACTTTGACTCAAAGAGTAAACCAAAATTTTTCGGTTTGGTATATATGAGACTGAGAAAATGATCACTTTTATGCAAAAATGACACCGATTCCCCAAAACTTTGGGGCCCATAAAAAGTGCATATCTTTAGCAAAAATGGGACATACAGGTAATTTTTTTGGTCTTTTATCAAATCTATAGATTAATCGGTTGACTGATCTATTGACTAATCTAAAAATGTACTACTCTACAAACTACCAAATGGAATATCATATTGGCTAGTCTATGTACTGCTCTATTGTCTAGCCTTTGGTATAAATAGAATAGAATTTCATCTTTCCAAAATATTTTATCTAATTTTTTTTCTTAAACTTATTTTCGATGAAACTAGAACCATAAATAGAATTTCATCTTTCCAAGATATTTTATCTAATTTTGTTCTTAAACTTATTTCGATTCTAAACAATGGAATCTTGAAATGTGAAATGTCAGATCTGAACTGTTAAATATTGGAAACACCAAAATCGATCAATTGCCCAGCCACCCGCTGCAAAAAAAACTATTTAAATGAAATAGGCTCACGAGGGACCTGAAAACTTCGATAACGATTATTATCGGGGGTTTTCATTATCGATTATTATGAATCGTTTTCTAAGTCTATTTAACTATGTCCGTCCATCCGTCTGTCTTTCCATGTAATTAAATTGGAGGCCGCAATTTTCAAAATAATTTGATGATATTTGTCACTAAACGTATTGATAATGGTTGAGATCGGTAACCCTAGCCCCCGCTTACGATTTTCATAATGATCGGTCTCAAAGTCCCCATACCAAGGCCTACTCAGAAAAGTACTTCAACGTCGTTAATTCATTTTAAACATTATAATTACGATTATTCTGCATAATCGTATTTATAATGTTGATAGTATCGATCCATATTTGACCCTAGCTCCCATATAAAGATTCCTTCAGAAATCAGGAGAAGGGTATTCTTGCCTTAAGAAAGGTTAAATACCTAGATAAATATGAAAGTTTACAACAATTAATAAAAATTTTGAACAAAAAGAGTTACATATACCTAATAATCGGAAATGTATGAATCAATTTGTCTATGTTAGTTCAGTAACTTAGCATTCCTGTTAACAAACTGCTCCCTAATTATAAACAACTAGAAGATAAGAACAATATTAAAAAATATGAATGATTTCTGGTTAAAAACTTTTAATTCGAAACTAATTCATTAAAAAAAAAAAAAAATTAATAAATTTAATTTATTTTTATGCATTAATAGCTTTTGTATAGAGACGCTTAATTAACAAACCATTTCGAAAATGCGTGTGTGTTTGCGTTAATTTATATTTAATTACTACATTAAAATTTTCATTTCGCACTTTTTTCGAAAAGTTATTTTAGTTTTATTTTTTTTTAATAATAATAAATAAAAAAACAAATAATTATTTAAACAATTTTTTCCTTTATTATTTTCATATTTACTAAATGTTTGCCCACTAGTATAAAAGTTTGTTAAAGATTTCAGTTAAATTATTTTATCATAATTTTATGGGTCTTGTGGTCTTCTTACTTGAATTTTCTTTTGAATAATATTTATTACAATTTTAATTTACCATATATTAATATAAAGTATTATTATATTATTATTATATTTATAATATCACTAATAAATAAATAATTTTACTTTCTTTTTTTTAAATAAATTTGTTGATGTTGTTATATTTTTTAATTAAGATTTTTAATTATAGTTTTTCATTTGTAATGTTCAATGTTTTACTTCAATTTTTATTTTATTTTTATAAAATTTTTTTTCAGTTTTCGTAATAAAAATTTATTAAAATTATAATGAAAATAATATAACATATTATTCCCCTAATAATATAATATTTTTTTCTCTTTTACAACAACAACAAAAAATACAAATAAAATGGATTTTTTTATTGAAAACTGCTGCTGAAAAAAAAACAGGAAACTATTCTCGTTTGGCATGCGAGATACAATTTGTGCGTTCGATGGGTTATTATCTTATACAAATTTATATACCCTCTGGACTGATCGTTATTATATCATGGGTATCATTTTGGCTTAATCGTAATGCTACGCCTGCTCGAGTAGCTTTAGGTGTCACTACTGTGTTGACAATGACAACGTTGATGTCGTCAACAAATGCTGCGCTGCCAAAAATTTCATACGTTAAATCGATTGACGTTTATCTGGGAACATGTTTCGTGATGGTCTTTGCCAGTTTATTGGGTAAACAAATGAAAACTTCTCTCTCAAACTATTTAAACTAAATTTTATTTTTCACTTTTTTGTATATTTATGAGTTTTTATTTTTCGAGACTTTTTTTTTTTTTTTTTTGTTCTACTGTAAATTTTGTAGTTTTACAACAGAAATCACTAGTGTAATGTTAATAATTTGCTGAAATTTTTGTTAAACAAATTATTAACATTTTTGTAGAGATTTTTGTTAAATTTTTTTACAATTTTATTTTTTATTTATAAAAATTTTAACTTTTCTATCAAAATGCTAAGACCAATTTTGAAAACATGTACTGCTCTGAAACTGGTACATGTTACTCTTTTTTGACACATATATTTCTATATATATATATTTTTAACTATTTTTTTTATTTTTAACTTAAACTAAACATAATTTTTTTCTTAAATTTTTTTTTCTTGAAACAATAAACTGAAAAACTATTCAATTTATTATTTCGAAAAGTAAAAAAAAAAACACTCACCATTTTAAACCAAAAAATTTTTAAGAAACAAATAAAATAACAAACACCCTATCACCAAAGAGCACTTCAAAATAAACGTACTAATAACTACACTTCAGATCCAAATATAAAACGAATAAAGTTTTCTTTAACAACCCATATAAATTGCCCAAATAGTTACACTCAAATAAATATAAAATTCTTTTTGATTCTTGATTGATTTTGATTTCAATTACAAATGTCCTTCAACTTTGTACACTTAGAGAAAAAATATGGTTCAACATACACTTGATTGCAGTGATTAAAATAACTTGCAGACTTGGGGAATGCTTAAACCATTAAAAGTAAATGTAATTAATTAGTTTTTAATAACAATTACTTGCAATTGTAATTAAAGTTTTATAAATTACTATTCTTTGTAATTTCAATTAAAGAATTACCAATTTCCATTATTTGTCGTCACAATTAATATTCCTCAATTTCAATTACATTAATTGTAATTGGGAAAATATAATCATTACACATTTATCATTGATTACTGGAATATTTCAATTACGAATTGCTGTAATATTAATTCCATTTTAAATTACAATTACTTGTAATTACACAAAAATCGATTACAATTCCTTGTAATTATACAAAAATCAATTACGATTACTTGTTAATCAAATAATAATTATATTTAATAGTAAAATCAATTGCAATTTCTTGCAATTGTAATTGAACTGTAATCCATTGTAATTAAATGTAATTGTAATAAAATGCAGTTCAATTACATGAAAAATTACATTACTTCCAACTGAATAATTACAAATACTTCTTAAAGAAGTAATTACAACTGGAGATACTTCAATTGCAATTACAAGAAATTGTAATTCGTGAATCTTTTATTACTTTTGCAATTATTTTGAAAGTAATTTTAGCTAAAAATGTAATTGACATCCCCCAATTCCGGTAATTGAGACCTGTAATGAAATGATTACTCTAAGTGTAGCTCCTATACAAATACTAAGCATTTTGTTAAATCGATAATAGTTTTAAATTTGCAAACTTTTTCACAAAACAAAGTTTATTGTCTAAATAGTTCTTCAAAACGTTTGAAAGAATTTTTAAAAATTTTTCAAAAATTAAAACTTTATTGTTAAAGAAAACTTTATTGACATGTTGAAAGATCCAAAAAAAAAAAAAGAAAACAGCAACAACTAAACAATAATTGAAAAATTCTTCTTGGAAGCAAAGCAAAAAAAAAATGCAAGAAAAAAATGAACAAGACACAAGAAATCTCTTTTTTCGTATTTGTATGTTCTTGTTAAATATTTTTGTTACTTTGACAAAACAAAAAGCAAAAACTATCATTCGAAGAAAATAAATACAAACTCATTGTTATGTGAGAATTTCCATTGAAAAAGTGTTTCCTTAAAGTCTAAAAAAAAGTAAAACAACATCACCTCAGTCATAAGATAGTTTATACATTTAATTTAAAACTTTTAAATATTTTTAGTTTATCTTAATTTCCTGTTTAATTTTGTTTAATTTATTTAAAAAAAAAAACTAAGTTTACCACAAAAAAAAAGCAGCTACTATAAATCTAAATCCAAAAGCCAAACTAAATTCTACAATGAATTCTTCCGTTAACAGTTTAAGGTTATGACCTGTTTTTCTTCTCACAAACTTTAAACAATCTCTTTATTTTTTATAACAAAAACTAAAGAAATTTGTAAATAGTTTTAATTTAATCCATAAAAAGGAAATGAAAAACTTGCCATAACCTAAAATGATACCCTGATATCATATACGCCCAGCTTCCGGTAAAAACTACTTTATGAGTTTATCTTTCTTAAATATTTACTACTACAACTACCTGCACCTTCTATAATATTCTAATAACGCACCTATCAACGCTACTTATAAAAGGTATGTATTATTATTTGTGTTAACAATATGTAAATGGTTTTCCCAACAACTATTCACCTGATTCTGAACTTTATATCAATGATGACAAAATATAATAATAAAAATGTAATAAAACTTTTGTTATAGTATTGGGGTCATTATCTTCAAAATACTGGAATACTAATTTTCTTTTAACCCATATGCTCTAATCAATGAAGTTTGGAAATGTATTTTTTAAATATTTTATAAGCACTTATTTATAATGAAAACATGACATGGACTTAACTATTTTAGTAGCTACATTTATGGAATTTAGCTATAACTAATTAACTCAAATAAACTATAGTAGACGTATAGAAAAAAGTCTTGTTAAAAAGAACTTCTTTGTCCTATATAGTTGGCTATGCCGAATCTAATATTCCCGCCATCAAATCGTATGTCGTATTAACAAAATGAAACAAGTATGAATGTAAAGACGGGCACAACCTACCATATGATACACTACACCAGTGAGTATGTTAAAATGGGGGCTAGGGTCAAATGAGATCCGATCATTACGAAAATCGACAGTGTCATTTACTCTTCTATAAAACTAGGTTTTTTGCCGTTTTTCTTGACATACATATTTAACATAATTTTGAGCACAAAAGCCCTATTCGGGGGGTTACGGTTGTATGAGGGCTAGGCAAAATAATGGACCGATTTTAACCATTTTCAATAGGCTTCGTTCTTAGGTCAAAAGAAAAGCATGTGCAAAATTCATCAAATTATCCTGTAGCATGCGCGCAACCTTTATATGGACACATAGACAGACAGACGAACGGACGGTCATCGCTAAATCTGAAGGGGACCTTGTATGGGGAATAGGGTCAATTATAAATAGAGCCTCAAAAAATTTGGGAGATTTTGGCTCGTATAAAACTTTCTCCGAATTTCATCGCTGTGCACGTATTTGTAAAGAGGCGTTCCGAAAACCAAAGCCGATCATGTTTCGAAATAAGTCTAAAATTGGACACTGTTCGGGACCTTTCTAAAGAACCGTTTAGGACTGAACACTCTTCAATAAAGAGGTTTCCAAATGCCCTAGTTGAACCTTTAGAGGACAGCTGCTTTCTGCGAGAGCGGAGATCTGCCCAGGAGAAACCTTTGGTAACAGGGGAGATCCGTAGAACCGGGCATAGCGTAAAAGACCGCAGTATACTGGGATGAATAGTATAAAATCGTTTGAAAAGCCAAACGAGACTTCTGCAAACTTTTCTGTAAACAGGTACATAGCGTAAATGAAAATTCCTTTCCAAACTCATGTCCCACCTAAATCTATGATCGATGATAGGACAGGAGGCTAGAGGATATGGAGGGGATAATGGAACTCCTAATGTACTCTCATTTACATATTTATACCCAAACCAGTCCTTTCGACCTATAAGCTTTACGTCCTTCCTACTTAAAACTTTAGAATGGTTAGTAGATAGTATGGTCAAAAGCAGAATACCATAAGAAGACTTCAAATATAATGCTTCTGTAAAGGGAAAACCGGTGGAAACCGCGTTAAACGAAATTGTCCACTATATAGGTGAATTCTTCGAGAGCACTGGCGTTATGTATTGACATCGAAGGCGCCTTCAGTAACGTGTACACTGATACCTTATCCAATACCGTAACTGGATCAACTATATGCTAAGGGACAGATGGATAAGCTGCGAAATGTTGGATATGACTATTAGAAAAAGAGTATTTCGCGGTACACCATATTGTGTCCCCTTTACTCTGGGTTATAACGATTAATAACCTCCTAAGGACCCTAACCAAGAAATCTCTTAGATATGTCTGCTATGTAGACGATGTCGTAATACTTCTAAGGGGAACGTATCCATATTACTTGTGTAGAAGAGCTGAAGAGGCAGGCCTTAATGTTAACTCGGTGAAGACTGAAATCTGTCTTTTCACAAGAAAGACAAAAATTGATAAATATACTAATGATAGGCAGAGTTATGTCAACAAGGCACATCGGTGCTGGTCGCTATGTAGGAGAACCATAGGCATGAAAAGGGATCTAAGCCCTACTATAAGCCCTACACATTGGCTTTATAAAAGTGTAATTAGACTAATTCTAGCTTACGCTTTAATAATATGGGAGACTTTAATGGACAAAAAGGCACTGTAAACATTGCTAAATATTCCACCCATTGAAACATACATACGTAAGATATGAGGCGGCACTTACAACCGAAGTGCTAAAAACTTAATGTGAACTGACCAAATGCGGTATAGGACACTTCATCAATATATATTGAACACATTTCCCAATGTTCTATACATTGCATACCAGATATATGGAAACTTTGAAACACTAATCCCAGATAGAATGTTTTGGTCAAGTAGAGCTTTAGAGCCCGTACAGGGATGGCACTAAATTGGGATACAAAGTGGGCCATCGATTCTATATTCCCAGAAATAACGGAATGGAATGAATTGGACTAGAATAATAATACAGGTCTTAACATATTTACCTACAGCTAGAAGGTAATTAGGGCGATATTAATGATGAAGTTAAATCTAAGACCATATTGGATTGTAAAAAAGTTGTAACCGAATATTATTCCAGAGGTAAGATACATCGCCATTCGGGAGTAGTCGGCAACGAAAGAGGGAATATAATATATATTTAAGGGGAAGGGAACTCGAGGTAGTTAACCTGACGAACGCAAAACCATTTGATGCAATGAGGGCAGAACTAGAACCCCTTATTTCTCTTGGAATAATGAAACGGTGGGTAGAACCACAAAGATTCTATGGGGTAAACCTAACGGGAGCAGAACGCCTACTCAAAATGAGTAAGTCTGCGGTTAGTAGATGGTGCGTGTTCTGAGTGTTCACATAGGATTTCGGGCACAGCTATACAAAATTGGACGTGCGGATTCAGATGAATGAGAGAGGACAGTCCTTCTCTCTCAGTGCATTTGTAATTATTTCTTTGCCATTGTAATTCTTTCGCCGAAATTATATCCAAATATCTTGGGAGTGATATTTTTCCGGATATAACTTCCCTTTCCGAATATAACGTCCAGAAAACTGAGTTTCTGAACATCGGATGATAAGAACAAAAATTGTGAACATATAAAATCAAATTCAATCTTAATTTTTTCATTTATAGTGGTAAGTTTTACATTGTACAATTGCACTAATTTCATTAACGACACCTGCACGTATACGTGTTAATGATTTATTGATATTACAAATATTAAGTATCCGCCTAATTTAGAGAAGTACTTGAACACTTAAAAAATTAAATTTTTAAGAGTTCACTGCGATTTTGATCAAGTTTTTTTTTATTTTTAACAATAATTAATAAAATCTCGATTTATCGTTGAAATCAATTTCGGATGAATATTCTAAACAAATAGACAGACTTAACTTAAACGACATCAAGCTTGATTGAATAGATCTAATGTAAGCGCATTTCCAAACTTCAGAGGCAAGTTATTATGGGTTAGTTTTATCTTAATATCGTATAAATCACGTTAAACAACAGATTCCAGTATTCTGAATAAAATTTACATAAAATAAAGTTTCAATAGTCAATATATTATATTATGACTCGAAGGGATTCTGGTTAAGAGTGTTGACATACTCAACTTAAAAAGTAAGTAGTAACTACATACATATGTATGTGATATGATATTGTTTATGGATCCCAGTGTTTATTTAAACATGATATTTTAATCAGCGCTTTTTCTGTGGTAAAGGATTTCTAACACAATACTTAAAATAATTAATTTTTCAAATATTTTATTTACATTAGAAATACTGATCTAAAAACTATTACATTTATTATAACAAAAAATTAAATAATAATACATCAATAACATAAATATCCCTCATATGAGATTTAAACATTTTTTTATACTTTTGAACTCTTGACAATGGAAATAAGTGCTTGTGCGATGAGTTTGTATTAAAAATGCACACACAGCAATAACAATTTTCTTAAAATGATAGAATAAAGAAAACAACAAATAAATAAATAAAAACTAAAAAAAAAGAATATATTTTTATACATTTTAAACAAAAACTCCTGCTTGCAAAAAAAGAAAATCCAAACGATGGAGGGAAAACATGTTCAATATTTTTAATTAAAATCAGATTTCCACCTCTTATTTTTTTTTTTTTTGTTCTTTACTGCCACCATCACCAACCAACCAATGTTTATTAAATAAAAAAACCCTCTCTCTCTCACACACACACTCAATCTCTATTGAATTCATTTCCTCTTTATAATTTCTTTTGTTTGTATTTCAGTAGAATTTTCAAACTAACAATAAGTAGATTTTTTTTGTTGTTGTTATTATTGTTATTCAACTACCACATCGTGCATTCATTTCTTCATTCATTCACTTTTTCACTCGTTCATTCATTAATTCTTGGTTTTTTTGTTGTATATCTCATATACATTCTCTCACTTCGTATTTATGTTTGTGTATTGTAAACAATTGTGTATTTTTTTTCCTCTCAATAAGATTTTTCTTTTGCATTTTCATATCCACCAAATGCTTTTTATTTTGTTTTCTGTAAATAAATTTATGCTTAGCAGAAACCATACATCAAAGCTTTTTCTTTATTTCAAACACAAACTTGAATATTGCGAAAAACAAAACATCAAAAAAACTTAATACTGTTAAGTAATTGTAAATATTATTTATATTATTATTATTTTTGTTTTTTAGTTCTTAAACAAAAAAAACTTTTCATTTAGAAGTGACAAGAAATCTTATTAGTTTTTAAACTTCTTTAGTATTTTGTTAAAAATTTACTTTTGTTGCCGGAAAAGTTAAAAATTTAAAAAAACACAGAATATTTTTCAAATGACAAATTTGGAAAGTTATTTAAAAAAATATTAAAAATTGGTTTTAAAATGAGGGATTTGTTAGCTTTAAAGAAGTACTAATGGAAATAATATTGAAAATTATTTCATAAGATTGAAAATTTCTATGAAAACTTCAAATCAAAATGAGAAACAATGATTTTAGATCATTGAAAATATATCGATTTTTGTGAAAATTCAAAATTTGTTTTAAAATTCAAAATTTTTTTTGAAAATTCAAAATTTTTTTGTGAAAATTCAAAATTTTTGTGAAAATTCAAAATTTTTGTAAAAATTCAATTTTTTTTTTGTGAAAATTTAGAATTTTTTTGTAAAAATTCAAATTTTTGGAAAATTCAAAATTTTTGGAAAATTAAAAATTTTTTGGAAAATTCAAAATTTTTGGAATATTCAAAATTTTTTGGAAAATTAAAAATTTTTGTTAAAAGTTCGAGTTTTTATAAAAATTGAAAAGTTTCGATTTTCTATAAATGTTTGAAAATTGTATAAACATTTGATTTATTTTTTGAAATTTTTAAGAAATTTTCGGATTTTTTTCTAAATTTCGAATTTAATGAAATTTGTTTTTTATAAATAAGTTTAGAGCCTTAATTAGGTAAATAACCTTCCACTTCTAAACATTTTGACAATTGAAATTTAAATTATTAATGAAAAAAAGTTTCAAATCTCTCCTACAAGTGTTTTTTTTTTTAAATTTTCTTAATTTTCACAACATCATTATTTTGCATTCGTTTAATTTCGCTACTAAATAGAAAAATCAACAAAAATGAATCAAATTATGTGATTTTATTATTTTTATTTTCTTGTTCATTTTTTGTCTTTCCACATACAAATTCTGTTTACCAAAAATAATACCAAAACAAAAATCCGTTGGCTTTACCCGCAAACTCTTCACAAATTTAATCATAAACCAAATCTGAAAAATCACACTTAATCACCAATTGGAATAACAACTGTTGCAAAATACCAAAAAAAAAACAAAATTCAAAATTTATGCTCTAAATATCCCCAACACTCACTGATTGGAAATTTAATGGAAATTTGCTGTGCCTTACCTTATATCCTAATTTTTGTTTAACAAAAAAAAAACAACCAAAATTTAATTAAATGAAACATAAAAAACAAAAACAAAAATCGTATGCAATAAACAAAATTACAAATCACAAATTTAAAAACCAAAAAAAATTAAAATTCAAATTGAAAATCAAACATGAAATTGATTGATTTGACTTGATCTGATTAGAATATGCCACCGTCGGCTATATGGCAAAACGAATTCAAATGCGAAAACAAAGATTTATGACGATTCAGAAGATGGCTGAGCAAAAAAAGCAACAACAACTTGATGGGGTGCAACAGCCCCCCAATCCCAATCCGAATACGGGGGTGGATCATGGTGGACATGGGCATGGTCATGGCCATCACAGCCATGGTCATCCTCATGTACCCAAACAAACAGTGAGTAACCGCCCAATTGGCTTTCAAAATATCCAACAAAATGTTGGTGCGCGCGGTTGCTCGATAGTGGGACCCTTGTTCCAGGAGGTGAGATTCAAAGTGCACGATCCCAAGGCCCATTCCAAGGGAGGAACGCTAGAGAATACGGTTAATGGTGGACGAGGAGGACCGCCAGTAGGACCCCATGGCCCCGGACCCCAGGGTGGTGGCGGTGGAGGAGGCCCACCAGGCGGTGGTGGTGGAGGAGGCGGAGGAGGAGCACCGCCCGAAGGTGGTGATGCTGAGGCTGCCGTACCAGCACACTTATTACACCCGGGCAAGGTAAAAAAAGTAATTTTATGTCTACACTTTCTTACCCCCTTAACAATAGAGACTAATGTTAATTTTTCTCTCTTTTTGTATATTTATCTTTACGTTACCATTTCAATTCCAAACTCCCAAAAAAAAAAAAACATTCCCACACACGCCATCCATTTATTTGTGAACGTTTATTATTTGTTTTCCTATAAAAAAAATCTAGGACATAAATAAGCTGTTGGGTATAACGCCCTCCGATATTGATAAATATTCGCGCATAGTATTTCCGGTGTGTTTTGTATGTTTCAATCTTATGTACTGGATTATTTATCTACATGTCAGCGATGTGGTAGCCGATGATTTGGTCTTATTGGGTGAAGAGTAAGGAGTTTAATAAACACATCAGAACAACAAGAAACTTCAGCAAAAACAACAAGCAAGAAGCAGCTCATTTAAATCAGTTACTACTACATCAACCGAAAAACATACTGACACACACACACACCGAGACACAGTCATTTGCTCTTTTTATAAAAGCAAAACGAAGGAAACGGATATACACAAACACAAGCATTAGTTGTAGTTAAATGAAATTTAATACATATTAAATATAATTTTAGACAAAATTAAATTAATTATAATTTATTATTTAAATATAAACAAACAAAAAAACAAGAAAGGAAAAAATTAAAAAATATATAAAAAACAAACAAAAAACACTTGTTAATTACCAGAGTTAAAACAAACAAAAAGAAATTAAGAAAACAAACAACAAACAAATCAAAATTATTTACTGACAATGTAAAACATTTTTATAACTAAGTCAAAAACAAAAACAAAGAAAATAAACACATACACAACCATACACACACACATAGACAGCAGAAGGCAAAAACATAATTAAAGACTTAAAAAAAGAAACAAATAATTAAAAATAATAATTAATGTAAAAAAGCAAAAGACATCCACAAACACTCTTAAAGAAAGCAGAACCCGATGCTATTTTAGACTCTTTTTTAAATTAATATCAGGCTTCCTTAATTACAAGAAAAAAACTAAAAAAATAAAACAATTTTAAATAATGTAAACATTAAATAACAACAACATTACTAACATTTAGTCACTCTCACTTAAAACCAATTATAAAAAATTACACCTCTTACTCTAATGGGAAACAAAATAAAAGAGAATCCACGTTATATTCCCCTTTTTATCAACAACAAATAATTGCACCTTAATATTTGGCACTTTGTACTCTACTACCAAAAAAAACACTTAGTTATGTTCTAATTTATACATACTATCTCTCTCGCTCTCTTATACACATACTTACATATACAAACATATATAGAACACAATATATCGTCTTCCTTGAAATATTTAAATAGAGAAACAAAGTAATGACAACATCCTTAATGATTTACTACTCTCTTTCTCTCTCTATCCTTATATATTATTGTTTCTCTGTTTAATTTTAAAATACAAATACTTTGTATTAGAATATAAATCCTAAACAAAATGTCAATTAATTTATAGTCCAATTAATCTTTGAACTTTGTTTTATTATTAATTTGAAATTTATAAGAAATCGTTAAAGCAATAGAACGAAAAAATCTTTTCAGAATTTTTCCTATTTGGTTACTGTTCTCTTTAATGATCTTTTAGTAAGATCCTTTATGAACAACAAATATAATTTAATTCAGAAATTTCGATTCAAAGATCAATCTTTTGCTAAAAACTCTCCGTACTAAAGGCTTCATTTGATTGCGGCTCTCTTCCTTCCTCCCTCTTTCTTCAAGATTTTCTTCAAGACAGTTTATTAACTAGCAATCTATTGACTAGTCCCTAGACTAGTTAACAGACTAGTCCGTTGACTGGTACATAGTTTAGGCACTAGATTAATTATTAAATTAGTCCATAGACTAGTCTAAGTCTACAGACTAACTAAACTAGTACATTGAGTTGTATTTAGACTAGTCCAAAACCAGTCCATTGACTAAGAAAAAGTCTAATGTAGTAGTCTATAGACTACCACATTCACTAGTCCATAGACAAAACCATTGTTCGTACATTAAACCAATGACTATTTAAAAGACAACTACGTAGACTAGTCGCAAGACATCTTCATAGTTTATATACTAGTCGTTAGACAAGTTCCTAATCCATAGACTATTTAATAAACTAATCCATTGGCTGTAGGTAATCCATAGGTACATAGACTATTTCATAGATTAATCTATAGACTAGTCCAAAGAATAATATATAAAGTAGTCCCTAGACTAGTCGATAGACAAACCCATGGGGTAGTCTATATGCATGTCTATAGAGTCACCCATAGTATAGTCCATAGACTATTTAATAAACTAATCCAATGACTATATCTAGTTCATAGATAAATCTATTGACTAGTCTAAAGAATTGTCCACCGAGATATCCATAGGGTAGTCCGTAGACTAGTCAACAGACTTGGATAATCCATTGACTAATCCATAGGATAGTCCATGAATAGACTAATCCCTTTACTATTAAATATACAATAAACTAATACATTGAGTTGTAAATAGACAGACTAATATGTTGACTAAGAAAAAGTCACTAGGCTAGTTAATAGACTAGTACATTTCCTGGTCTATGGACTAGTCCATTGATTAAGATCTTAGATTAAACCATTGACTATTTGAATGACAACTTAGCAGACTAGTCGCAAGACAACTCCATAGTCTAGTCAATAGACAAGTTTATAAACTAGTCGATATACAAGTCTGTAGAGTCGCCCAAGGGATAGTCTATAGACTAATCTATTGACTGTAGCAATTCTATAGGACCATATGCTAGCTCATAGATTAATCTATAGACTAGTCCAAAGAGTAGTCCATAGAAAGGTTCACATACTAGTCGATGGACAAACCCATGGGGTAGCCTATAAGCAAGTCTATACAGTCGTCAATGAGATAGTCCATAGACTATAGTAATAAAGTGAACCATTAACTATACCAAGTCCATAAATCCGTAACTGTTCATAGATTAATCTATAAACTAGTCCAAAGAGCAGCAGAGTAGTTCATGAATAGTCGATAGACATACCCATAGAGATATCCATGGGGTAGTCCATAGACGATAGACTTGCACAATTCATTGACTGATCTATAGATTAGTCCATAGACTAATTCATAGACTAATAACTTTACTATTCCATATACAAGTCATAAACTAGACTATAGATCAATAAATATACTAGATCATAGACAAGTCCATAGACTTGTCGGTTCCCGTTGACAGACCAGTTCCATTGAATTCTTGGCAAATTAATCCAGTCAATTGACTAGTTAACAGTTTAACCAATTGACCTCGCAGTCAACTAGTCCATTTGTTAGTCAGTTGACTAGTTAATAGTCTAGTTTATGGACAATTCTATTTATCTATAAACTAATCCATCGACTTCTTGTAAAAAATTTTAATTACTTCTAATAAACGAAGTTTCATTCGGAAATTTTCATGATCTTATACAATGCAATTATTCGCCATTCACTCTCTCATTCTTCATTCAACCCCCAATTACGAACTGAATTACATGATTCGCCATACAAAATGTACATATTGTAATTCAGTCCTGTGAGGGATCCTGTCGCGATAGAGAATAAATTGATCTCTTAACTAGAACTGAACAGTAAAGAATCCCTCGGGCTTGTAGAGTTCATAAGAGAGAGTAATCTGTAGTAATTAATAGTTTTTATTAAATTTCCAGTATTTAAGGAAAATTTATAAAAATTTAATTTTATACCGTTTAAATAAACTTTTTCAAAATATTAAACAAACAGAAGTTTCGTAACACTTTACACTATTTTCATAATACTCTTCACAAAATGCACTTTTTGTATTTGTAACTTTTCATTAATGGAATAGCGCCTTTAATAAAACAACTAGTGAAAACAAATCAAACAAAATAACTCATTTTAGTTACCATTTATATGTAATTTATTTAATTTTTTGTTTTTTTCTTTAAATTAAGCGCTTCCATAATAAATTGCCAAATTTATATTTTAGGCATTTGAACTTTAAAAACCATAAAACCAAAAGAAAAAAACTCTAAATAAAATGTAAAGAAAAAACTAATAAAAGACATGAAGCTAGTAAAGACAGACACTATGAAAGAGTAAAATTTTAGAGAAAAAACAAATAAAAACTTAATTTAAGTAAAAAGTATTCAAATTTTTTTTTAAAAACATAAATTACTCTAACTAATGAATACTAAAACAGCATCGGGTTTCCAAAACAAAAACAACCACTACAGCAATTTAGTAAAGAAAAAAAAAGTTATTTGAAAAATTTCATTTATTTTTGCACTTGAACAAAAAAACATATTTTTTTGCACATAAAAAAAATTATTTTTTTATTTCTTAAAAAACACCTAAAACCAAAGAAAAAAAAACAAATTTAAAAAAGTAACAAAAAAAATCTATTAAATAAATTTTTAAGCACACGTTGTTTATGATTTTTTTAAGAATGAAAGAGAAAAATAAAAAAAAACGAAATTTTAGGTAATACTTAAAAAAAGTTTAAAAAATTAACCAAAAAAAAAACAAATATATAAAATTAAGTGAAAAAATATACTGCCTAAATAAAAATAATTATTAAAAAAAAATAAAATTAAAAAAATGAAACGTACTTGAAATATTAAAATAATAAAAGAAAAATTGTAAATATAATTATTAAATAATAAAACAAAAGTAAAGAAAACAAAATGTACAGAATGAGTTAAAATTTAGTTAAATACTTAAGTGTAAATATTAAATTTAAAACAAAAATAGTAAAAACAAAAAAATAAATCAAACAGTTGTATGTAAAATTACATTTATACAGAACAGATTTATATGTTTGTATATGTTTTAATTATAAATTAATTACATTATAAAATAAAAATAATAACTAAAGAAGAAAAATACAAACAAAAATAAATGAATAAAATAAAGCAAAGTGAAAGTAGGAATAAAACTTCGCAATCATACTAAAAAAGAAAATAAAATTTAAACAAAAAAAAATGAAATATTTAACGCAAAGACAAACTATTTTTTAATTTAGTTTGTTTCGTACTAAATAATTACTACTATTATGATTACAACAACAAGAACAACAACTACAATTAAAAAATAAATAAAATAAACTACTAATATTATTTAACGTACGTATTTATATGAAAACCATCCCCTCATCCACTACTTTCCAAATTGACATACAGTTAATCATTTTCATCTTCATTCCGAATGAAAGTTTACAATTTCGGTTATTTCTGGATATAATTATTGCAACTCTACTTCCTTTAGTAACAAAAATGTTGCCCTTTTGCTCTCTAATTACATTTTTCTAAAGCTTTTCCTAAAAATATCTAAACTATGTTTCTTTTAATCTTTTGTAATTTAAAAGCTTTTTATTGTTTAAACAGACAAATTAATTGTTCAGGGCTATTTTTTGCATTTTTTATAAAAAAGCTTTTATGCAAAAGCTTTTTAATCTAAAAGCTGTTTTAGTCATTTAAACAGACACAATGATATTTTTAGAACTATTTCAGATTTAACCTATTCTATTTTACGTTTTTTAAAAGTTTAACACAAAATTCTGAAAGCTTTTGAAAAGCCAACTTCATGAACTTTCTCTCAGGTTAATAAAATCAACTTTGTAAGGTTAGGTTCGATGGATCACTAACACGTTAATGATAAAAATCGAAGAACATTATAAGAAGTTTAATAGCCTTTGAAAG